GGTGGGGGGGGGGTCGAACCTACGGGTGATACCATGTCGAGAAGAAAACTGAACAAGTGTTTTGATAGAGAGAGAGAACAAGGGTATATACCTAAAAGTGTTGTACCCTCTAAGAGGTGACCCTATAAAGTCCATACAAATATGAGTTATACATATATTTGACAGTAAGGCCACAAGGCCAGTCTGACTGGCATATATAATAGAGAGTACACAATCAGGATCCTAACAGGTGAGTAGCTACAGGAACAAGACCAAGCTGTACACAGTGTCGCTGATGATCTTTAGGCGCAAGCGCCTTAGTAAAGATATCAGCTGTGTTGGCACCTGAGGCCAAGTGAACTACGCGGGCCTGGCGGCGCTGCTGTAGCTCGCACAGGAGGAAGTACTGCAACTGGATATGCTTCGCTCTGCCCTCAAGCCGAGGCTCCTGACACAGGAGTATCATGGCCCTGTTGTCAGCATACAGGACCGGGGCAGAGCTAGGCCGCTCACCTAAGTCTGTGAGCAAGAAGGTCAGCCAGCGGAGCTCCTGTGCCGCCAAAGCACCAGCGTAGATCTCAGCCTCACAGTTGGACTAAGCCACAGACGACGAGCGAGTGGATCTCCAAGAGATAGCACCCGAACCAAGGCTAAAACAGTAGCCCTGCGACGACCAGAGCGTCTCAGAGTCGTCTGCCCAAGAAGCGTCTGTGTGCCCAAGTAAGGACCACTGGCCTGCGTCCTCCTAACACTAACCCCATGCCCGATGTACTTGCAAGATAACGCAAAACCCTCTTAGCGGCAGACCAGTGCTGAGGTCGGTGTCTGCCTGTAGCCACAAAGCGAGCCAGGATGCTGAGAGGGTATGCGAGATCTGGGCGAGTGCAAGTCATCAGGTACATGAGGCAACCCACCAGCTCTGCGTAGGGGCCACTGGGCTCTACTGGCTCCTCAGGAACGGGAGCGGAGAGCTCATGGTCTACAGGTAGAGGTGTGGGCTGTGCGGAGGAGAACTGAAGACCGAACCTCTGAAGGACCTGACGCACCAAGTGTGATTGGGTCAGAGTGATGGTGCGTGCTGCTCTGTCCCTAGAGATCTGCAGGCCAAGATAGCGACGCAGCTCTCCAAGGTCAGTGCAGGTGTGTCTCTTCAGAAGCTCGGCCTTCACAACTAGGAATGTACAGCTACTAGTTAAGTAAAAGCACCACTACACCACGCCAGTCTACAAGTCCTCTATCTAGTCTAGACTTCACAATATTCCACGACACTAGCTACACTTGACGGCCATCATGTTCACTTCGTCTTCTGCCTCGTCATCGGACAGAAAGGGGTTGACTTCCACTTCAGGAGGAGCCTCTCCCCCCACTTCCCCCTCCCCCTCTCCCTCATCCTCTGCCCAATCCCCCATGTAGTTGGGGACTGCCTCCTCCTCCACCCTCACTTCTGCCCCCTCAATTGCCTTCGCCTTACGCTTCCTCTCCGCTGCGGCAAATAGAACAGACTTAGCAGGGCGCCTCAGCGTCTCGCGCCAACACCCAAGGGCCTCGTCCCAGTCAGTCTCGTACTGCAGCAGGGAAATGACCATCAGCTCGCTGAGGCGCGCATTGCACAACGCGCCCCGCACCCATGACTTGATGACGTTCTGCCGTGAGAAGCCTCGTTCACACTCCACTGTGCTAAGCGGCAGGACAGCGCACGCCTGCCACAAGTGCATGAGGTTCGGCCAGCGCCTGCCAAAAGGGTTGGGGGAATAGAGTACAAGGAAAAAGACCAGTGCATTAGCAATGCTAGTCAACAATCGATAAACAACAACATTCAAAGGGAAGAATAAAACCGCCCAAAAAAAATGCAACAATCGTCCTTCGAGCAGCACTCTCTCACAAGGTCGACTCCGTCGAGCTGAGGTAGTTCGTCAGGCCTTGATGGAATCCCTCGTCGGCATGGTGGCTCAGCATCAGTGGCGCCCACGTGACCAGCTCCTTCTGCGCAGCTTGCAAGGAAAAGCCTGTCAGCCTGTTGTCGAACAAGGCACTGCAGCTATGTAGGTACTCCTTCAGCTTCTTCTCTCTCTGCTGCTTCATCCGGGGCCACTTCGACACGCGGAAGAGCTTCGTCGAGCCGAGATTGTTCAGGTCCAGCATCCTCGTCTTCGGGAAGCTTATCGTGTCCTTCGCGAACTGCGCGCAGAGCCGCTCGCAATCAGTATACTTGCTGTGGAAGGCATGCCCGTCGATCTGCTTCTCGTGCATGGTGTAGGTGTGCGTGACTGGGTTGCCGTCCTTGTCGATGCCCCGCACCTTTACGCGTTTGCCCCCTCCGCGCCCGTAGACCGCCAAGAAAGCCGAAAGCCACGTGCCTTCAACACCCCCACCGAACACCTCTCCGCACTCCAAGTAACGGTGGCGGAGGTCCCCTGTCGCCTCGTCGATGTCCTTTGTCACTTCGGTGACATCGACCTGATGGAAGTGTCAGACAAGGGAGTGGAGTCAGAGGGTGATTCCAAACGTGGATGCATGGGATAAAAACTACAACAGCCACAGTGGTATTCATAGTTGAGCTCATTCATCACTCCGAGCACGTCCGCCAGGAAAAAAAAGACAGAACTGGAACTTGTAACAAATGACGACCTCATACAGCTCATGCCCGTACTCATAAAAGAGAATGATAGCGGCGCCAAGGACCTTACAGAGGCGCCTCACAGCCTCACCCCTTGAAAGCCAGTGCACGGTGTGAATTCCTTGCACTTCAAGGTTGGTGTTGTGTATTGCCCGCTGCAGGTACTTGAAGCGTTGACTCCAGACACATGAACGTCCCAGAAGATCGGCCAGAGTCCGAATCACAAGGTCGACCATGTCGAAGTCTGGAGAAGCAGTGGCTGCGTCCTTCACCGCCAAGGCTTCCCTGCATGGTGCACACGAAAGAATTTTAGACAAGCAGTTGTACGAACCATAAGCGACTGAAATGACGCTAGGTTTAACCTGTGGGCGATGCAGTGCGACGAGACGAGGTGGGGGATGTGCTCGCGAAGTCGGGCGACGAGACCATTGTCTCGGCCGACCATGACAGAGGCGCCGTCGGTGCTCATGCCAGTGAATCGGGAGAGGTCGATGCCAGTTGCTCGCAAGTGAGCTAGAAGAACGGCGAGGAGAGACGCGGCATCGCACTTTTCGACGGTCAAGAGAGCAAAAAACTCTGTGACAACACGATGCGCACGCAAGAAGGTAAGATAAACAATAAGATGTTTGCCGCGAGTACGGTCAGTGGCTCTCGTCGCAGCTGATGCCGAGGTAGGGTGAGGCGAGAATGTAGTGCATTTGTCGGCAATGCAGGTAAGTTGCCAGGCTGCTGACGAGCTGACAGAAGCCATACCTGTAGTACCAGAAGTGACAACAAGGTGTTGGTTAGACATTTTTGAAAAATGAAGGACATGGTGTACTTCGAATAAGTGCATTACCGTGTCAGGTAGACTCCGTAAGACTGCAGCGGAATGTCCGGTGTCTCCTGCTCGGCCATGAAGCGGAGTAGCCTCGGGTACATGCTGATGGGTGCATCACACTTGCACAGGAAGTCGACGCAGCGTAGGAGCCTCATGACGCGCTTCCCCTCAATGTCAATCCTCGCGTAATTCTCCATGCGCCTCTGGGTGCTGGCGATGTCTTAGGCGATCTCCATCTGACGCTTGACTGCTACTTCGTGGGCTGTCGTGTGTTCGTGGAACCGCATCGCTTGCGTCTGCAGGTCACGTGCCCCGTCGCGGCTGTTGGAGTACGGTGTTGTCTCTTTGCCGAAAGCCTTGCACACACTGCACTTCAAAGTAGGGTAACCGTCTTTTGTTTTCGTTAGCAGAAGCCAAGGGAAAAATGGAAGCCAGCTGGTCTTATACTTGTGCTCAGCCATGAGATACTTCTGCTCGATGAGTTCCTTCTTTGAGAGATTCGGCGGCTCGGGTTCTGGAATACCACGGGCCTAAGGTTCAGGCGACGTGCGAGGCGGCGACCGTCGATGTAGCTTCCCGCCGAGGACTATCGTGCTCTGGGTGTACTTCCCGACGCGTGCTTTCTTCCCAGATGAAATCGTCGACGCACACTCGACCGTGTAACGCACGGTCGTGGCTGTCTCACAGTCTGGAACCAAAGGGCCCCGGCTAGATGAGGCGACAGCGGGCGGAGGTACATAGGGAGCGGCGGGAGTAGATACGGGTTGTGATGGTGTAACGACTGCGGTGGGAGACGCAAGATGTCTAGAGCGGATCTACGGACCTCCACGGGGGGGTCCCTACCTAGTCCAGAACCATCATCGGCAGTGGGAGACTCACCAGAGTCTCCTACATCCGCCATGGCTAGAAGCGGCGGATATGATGGAAATGAGAAATCGGCGCGACGAAACTAAAGGAGACAGAAAACTGGAGCATCTCGTAGCTGTGACGTGAAAAAATGAAAAAAACTGGGTTGGAGGAGGAGCTGGTGAAGAAGACGGGAAGAGGACCAAGAGGCCTCATCTTTCGATTTTGATGGATGGTGCATAACCCATCCAGGTTCCCGTATCGCCATGGCGATACCGTCAACTGCGAGACGCACCTGCGCTGGCATCGTCTGCACAGAGATGATTGGCGGGGTGATGTGATACATAGGCTGACATTGCCGCGCTCATCATATTCTGTCATCGTCTGCTGCGTGCTGAGTCACGAATGCCAGTTGACGGTTGCAAATGTTGCTGTAATGGCAACATACAGCGTGTACACGGCGGGAATCTTGCCGAGTGCAGAATTGTGACACGACCTCAGAGGAGTGTGCAGTGCAGTCGTCATAGGTGCCGTGTGCAGAGAGGAATTGGTAGTCCTGCCCTTGCAAGGAGAATCCGAGAAACTGCCAGGAAGCGGGGTGAATGTCGACGTGGTGGTATCCAGATTTGAGATCGATCGTGAATAGCCAATCGCCTTCTTGCACCAAATCAGGAACGCGAGTAAGTCCTTCGTATCGAAAACGAGGTACTGAGAGGAATGAGTTGACATGCCGCAAATCCAATATCAGTCTCTTTTTTGAGGGTTGGACAATCACGTTTAAGGGGCTAACGCATGTGAGGGTTGTGGAAGGAGGAACGACCCGAGCTGCGCCGGTGGCGAGAAGCTCGGCCACTGCGCCTACGGCGAAAGAGGTGAATTGCAAAGCACCGGCATGGTTCTTAGTACGAGACGGAGGGGGCTCAAAGGCAACCCATGGTAGGCGATATCCAGATGTAATCACCGATAGAATCAAGCGGCTGTCGCACCAGGCGGACCACCATGCAGCGCGGTCACGGAGGCGGCCTTGCATGCGGGTAATCTTGGTTGCGTCATCGGCATAGGCCGAAATGGTTCCGAGCTCTGGTAGGAGAGGGAACACAAATAGGGACGGTAGAGAATCAGGAAGGTACCTCATGTAGTTCCGAACGCAACGATTTTTTTTTATTATTATTATTTTTTTTTTTTTTGGAAGGAAGGCAAACGCTAAATATAGGTGCCCGCTTGCTCGCTATTATTCGGCCACGTCATCCCTTAAGTGATAAACCATGGGTTGGGAATGTGAACTTGGCATTTTGGGCTGTAGTTGGTCGTCATATATTCCTTGTCGTGAACCAAAAAGTGTTTCGGGAAATGTTGCCAAAGCATTCGCCAAGTGTTCTAATCTTAGTCCGCCAGGAGTGTTCACCCACATGTTCGCAAAACGTTTGCAAAGCATTTGCGCAAATGCTACGCAATCGTTTTGCGAGCATACGTTTTTTTTTTTTTTTTTTGCGATGGACATAGAAATCTTGTGATGAATCTTATCAACGTCAGTCTTTAAAGGACGCACACACATTGTGTATGCGTCTTGTGGGCACGTTCACGTCTTCTTGCACGGGCCCAACGTGCAAGACCATGTGGCCGTATGACGCGCGTATTAATCTTGCTTGAATGCACAAATGTGCGTGTGTGTTTTTTTTTTTTTTTTTTTTTTTTTTTTAATTAAGAACGCTACAACATCGGAGAGGTTAAGCAAACTTTACACAATCTTAGCTGGTCGATTGGCCCCTTGGCCCCTTTGGGGGCAATTAGCCATCCCATGCCCGGGTTCACGGCAATAGAAACAACGGCCGTCGCCGTCCCTACGCCATGTGTTCCAAAGGCGCTCCCCTTGGCCGCGAGGGCGAAGAGGGGGTTCAGGACGGGAGGTGGGATGGGTGGGCCGAGTGGGCCTCTTCTTGCTGGCCGCTACAATCTGAGAAGCGGCCTTCACATTCTTATCCTCTACCACTTCCCCATACTTAATCTTAAGGGCCATATTGGCCACTTCGAAACCGCGTTGATCGGCGGTAAACAAAAAATGAATCTTCTCTTCCGCCTCCTCTACTATCTGCTGGAGATAGTCGGCGGCTTGTTCTCCACCGTCAAGTGGTAAAACCGAGATAGCATGACGTGCAATAGCTTGAATGCGCTCAAAACTAAAAAGTTGCGTACGAATTCCATCGCTTTTAACTAAGGAAGAGCGCAACTGAGGACGTGCAGGTGGAATAGGAGCGAGGGTGAGCGATGCAGAAGCGGATTTCGGGCGGGCGGCATTACCTTCGTCGAGCGTGGCATGGGGTGCTTCCTCGTCCATTTCGTCGTCAACGGGCTCGGGGGCGGGCGCCGGGAGGCGAGAGCGTGGGGCCACCGTCGCTGCGACGCGTGCTGGTTCCGGTGGCGGTGCGGGATCGGCGCCATTGCCACGCTGGAGCGCCGCGAGAAGACCAAGAACGTGGTGAATGGCCTCGTTGTTGGTGCCGGCGTTAACATTGTTGTCGGTGTAGCGAGCAGAATTATGTTCTGCAGAATGAGGCGCTGTAGATGCAGTGGAGCGTGCTGTAACGCGTTCGCCAGCAGCTCCTGTGAAGATTCGCTGGAGATTGAGCTGGGCTGCAGGATCCAGGCGCGCAATCATTTCGGCGATTTCTGCTGCTCCAGGGGTCGAGATCTGCGGAATCCCGCGCGGATTCACTGCGGCAGGAGCAAAATCTGTGCGGCGATCTGCGCGATCCCGGTCCCGATCCTGGCGATCCTGGCGAATCTGGGGCGCTGGGGCGTTGAGATCGCGCTCATGATGACGCCCTGCGCGCGCAGTATCACGATCATGATTGTGGTCCTCGCGCGCAGGACCGTCATGATTGCGTTCGGTAGGTGGGGGCCGGGAGGGGGCGTTTTCGGCAGTCGGGTTCGTGTCGACGCGGTTCTGCTCGTTACGCCGCTCGTCTTGAAATCCGGGGGGGAAATCGCGATTGCGTGACGTGTTACGATCCGCGTCCCCTGCCGCGTTTTCGACGTGCTGAACAGGGTCTTAACGCGCGCCACTCAGCAAATCCAAAGCGGTAACTGCGCTGTTACCTCCGCCAGGACGAGGAGAACGAGATCGTTCTCTATGCTGAGATGAAGAGTTTCGGTCCCCCTCACGTACAGGGGACCCACGCCTTCCACCACTCCTAGTATTCACACGAGGAGCAGGAGGCCTACCACTTGCAGCGGAAATGAGTCCGCTAACCATTGTAGAGTATCTAACAGAAATAACGTCTTGCAGCAAGAGACTTCTATGCCCAGATCTGGGCATAGAGGTTTAGAGTGTGCTGGTGGTATACAAGTTGGAACAGAAAAATGCAAATGAGACTAGGTGGCAGGTCTGAAAGACCTGCCGATAGATGAAGGAGTTTGTCTCCTTTACAGCAAACTCCTCTTCTAGTCGAATCACAATCTGTAAATTTTTTACTACAAAAAAATTTCTCATTTCTTTGCTGCATAAAACGAGGAGGGTGTTATGTAAAATGCAGCCCCCGAAAAGCGGGTGCTCTCCTAAATTCACCCTATCATAAGCTCTCCCCCGCATAAACCACCCGCGGAGTGACTATTTCGGCGGGTGTTATATACGGGGGATTACGGTATTTTTCGCTTCGTTCGGTGGAAAGTTCTCCAGGCCGGGCCATTATTTTTTCTGACCCCCGAAAAAGAGTTTTAAGAGCGCCCAGGGTGTGCTATTCTAGTCTGGTTTTAATAACATTTAACCACGAACAATGCAATACCCTTTCCAATACGATGCTATTGCCCTACAGGTGGAACACCTGCTCACAAAAACAACAGCGGAAAGTTCACTGACATGTTAGAACAAGAGAGCTTGAAAGGCAAAGTGACAGTGGACACCTAAACTGTATGATTGAAAAAAAGCGAGTCATGGAAATAGAGCTGGGTCTGGAACAAGGCAGCATACCTGTGGTGAAATCCCAGGACAAAATGGCATGTTTTTGGGGCGCGGTGCTCGAGAGAGCAACAAAGCCGAAGAGGAAGAGAGAGTCGGATGCAGTGGGCTTGAGAGCAGAGCAGAGGGACACACTCGCTGTGAGGGTGGGGGTGGGGGGCTGCACGGGGTCGGAGGAGAGGAAGACTCGGAGAGTGCCGCCGCTGGTGGGGTCGTAGTGGATCCAGGCGTGCTTGGTTTGGGCGTCGTTGAGGATGAGAGGGGCCGTGGCAGAGGCGAGGGACACAGGTGAGCCGCCCACATTGACGCCCACGTGGTTGTCGTTGGGGTCGCTGTGCTTCACACTCAGCACCGAGTCAAACTCCACCCCCACACTCCGCCGCCCCACCCCTCCCAGCCCCACACTCGCCCCCTTTTTCGGAAGCAGTTGCTGCCACCACAAACGCAAGCCCCTCCCTCCCCCCCCCTGGCCCCCGGGACTCATGGCAAAGCTGAAGGCAGCAAGGAAGCCCAGCTCCGTTCCGCAGCGCGACCGCTTGTCGGGGAAATAGAAGAGGCGCACGGCAGGTGAGCCAAACGCTGCACCCTGCTGGTTGGCAGCGCCATTTGTGAGCAGAATGGAGCCGTTGGAAAGCACAGAGGCAGAGCCCCGAAGAGAGACATAGGCAGAGTCGGATGCCAGAGAGGTCCGGGCAGCTGCAGTCAAGGGGAGCAGAGGCATGAGAAAGCGAGGCATCTGTCAGCATCCTGAATATATTTACAGCTAGATGTCAAAGAAAAGCATGGATATACATGTGCAAGGGCACCCAATGAAGAGAAGAGGCTCACCTCCAGGCACACAGGCATTGCCGTTGCTGCTGTTGAGCATGTAGTTGGGATCGCATGCACACTCCGCTGATCCTGTGAAAGCATTGACAAAGCAGGAGCCATGCCCCCCACACACTGGGCTCGTCGCACCAACCTCCACCCCACAGAATGCAGCACACCCTCCAGCAGATCTCTGGGGGTAAACGAGGCCGCAAATGCCCAGGTAAGGAGAGAGGCAGTTGTCAAGGGTGGTCCATGTGACGGCAGAGCAGTTGCTGAAATTGACCTGCCCGTGCGAGAAGAAGTTGCCCTCCACCTTGTACGACTTGATGCCTGCTGACGGCGGGCTGGGCAGTCGCCCACTGAACTGGTTGCTGGTCAGGTACCTGGTGCAGCGACCATGAGGCACAGACGTCCAAACAAGATGATATGACGGCAGAGTTGTTGCAAAGACAAGGGTTAACGGTTTTCAAGCTGCAGGTGAGAAACCACGTGTGGTACCCCACAGGTAAGTGATGTTGGCCATGCCTCGCATGACAGGCTCCACCGGGCCCTGGAGCTGGTTGAACGACAGTCCACTGAGAGAAGCACATTGAGGCAAACACGTAGGCAAGAGAGCAATAAAGTGCAAAGAAGCGGTGGAAGTCAACGAACCATGACTCGTTTTGTTCAAACTCGATGTTGAAAAATGGAGATGCAAAACGCAGGGAAGTCGAGAGCTGGCATAGGCGAAGGTATAAAGCACAATAAAGGAATACGAGGCAGAAACTGAAGCAAGGCATTGAGCAAAAAACCAAAGATGCATGGGTCTAATTCCAATCAGCCCTAAAGAACATTGGTCAAGGGAACATACAGAAATTGGAGCTTGGAGAGGTTCTGGAGGGTGCTGGGGATGATCCCATGCAGATGATTGCCTGACAGGTCCCTGCTTGTTACGTGCACCACCCAGACATGCTTCACAGAGTCAGCACATGCCCCAGCAACTCCTTAAGAAATATGTTGCCGCATAGGCTCAGCACCAGGAATGCGTCAGATGCATTGTCATCGGTTCCAGTCACAAGATTTTCAATGCTCGCCATAGTTCGATGCGTGCATGGTTCGAGCCCTCCATACACACAAGGAATGAAGGTTGGTGAGTTTCGCAATGGCCGTAGGGATTGATCCAGACATCTGGTTGAAAGACAACCACCTGCCATTGTGAACGTGCAACCAAACAGAAGCACACAGCTGAGATGGCAGAGTGCACGCATGCGATCCGGTCAAGCTAGAGCTCTCTTGACTGAATGGGTCAAGACGTTGAAAAGGAAGCTAGTCTTTGTGTAAAGATCGATGTACTTCAAGCCATGAGCCGTTATTGCCTAATTGATACATTCGCCTCTTCCCCAAATCCGAGCAATCATCCACCCTGCACCAGTCAAAGTTCCACTGGGAACCCCATGTGTGAATGACGCACATGGCTGTCAGGCCAGACCCTGGCTGGGTGCCCAAGCCGGCCCAGGGGATGTAGGCTGGCAGGTGAGGTGAAAACACAGGCTTCCGCGCTCCTCCCATCATAACCTCAAAATACTGCTGCTGGGAATGTTGACAAAACCAATGGCTGCACGTGGCTCACATGTAGTGCAGAAGAGGCAGATCGCCCAACCCAGCAGGTATGCTTCCCGAGAGATGGTTGACAGAGAGCAACCTGAACGAGCATGGCGTGCATGTTGAACGAGCATGGCGTGCATGTTGAACGAGCATGGCGTGCATGTTGAACAAGCATGGCGTGCATGTTGAGCGAGCATGGCGTGCATGTTGAACGAGCATGGCGTGCATGTTGAACAAGCATGGCGTGCATGTTGAACGAGCATGGCGTGCATGTTGAACGAGCATGGCGTGCATGTTGAACGAGCATGGCGTGCATGTTGAACGAGCATGGCGTGTGCATGTTGAACGAGCATGGCGTGCATGTTGAACGAGCATGGCATGCATGTTGAACGAGCATGGCGTGCATGTTGAACGAGCATGGCGTGCATGTTGAAGGAGCATGGCGTGCATGTTAAACGAGCAAGGCGTGCATGTTGAACGAGCAAGGCGTGCATGTTGAACGAGCATGGCGTGCATGTTGAATGAGCATGGCGAGCATGTTGAATGAGCATGCTGAACGAGCATGGCGAGCATGTTGAATGAGCATGTTGAACGAGCATGGCGAGCATGTTGAATGAGCATGGCGAGCATCAAGGTACAAAAAAAGGGCGTATTTTTCCTTTTTAGCCCGTATCATACTGTACTGAAATATACGACCGTTTAATACGGAAAAAAGCGGTCTTGGGTGCGTTTTTATGTGTGTGTAAAAAAAACTGTCGTATTATACGGTCGTTTTTTTTTTATGGGAGGTGTACTAGGTTTATAATTGCCAATCGAGGTCTTGTTATGTGGTTGGGTTTGCTCGCGCTGTTGGGAAATTGTTCGCTCAACATTTTAGGGTTGAGGAGGAGGGGGCTGAGGAGGAAGAGGAGGAGGAGGAGGAGGAGTAGACACTTGGAGGAGTAGGGAAGGCTTAGGAGGATTAGGGCGGGGAGGCTCACGAGGAAGCCTAGGAGGATTAGGGGGGAGGTTTAGGAGGAGGAGGGGGAGGCTTAGGATGAGGATGGGGAGGTAGACACCTGTAGGAGGAGGAGGAGGAGGAAGGGGGGGGGGGGCTTTGGAGGAGGGGGATGTAGACTTATCGAATGTAGAGGCATTTCTATCTGTAGCCGCATTTTGATGCTGTTTTGACGTTAGAAAGCCCATGGCAGTTCTCCCCACCTGTTTACTGGTCAGAAGAGGTTTTTTTTTTAGGCACATTTTCGTCTATTAAAAAATCGGCGTATATTTCCTCAAATCACCGAAAAAAACGGCCGTTTAATACGGCCCGTTTTTTTTGGTTGCCGTATTTTTGCACCTTGGCAAGCATGTTGAATGAGCATGTTGAACGAGCATGGTGTGCATGTCGAACGAGCACGGTGTGCATGTGGAACGAGCATGGTGTGCATGTTGAACGAGCATGGTGTGCATGGTGTTGCAGAATCAATGGGGGCAGATTACAGGTATTTGAGCTTGTGCAGCGACGCCAGTGACGCTGGGATGGTGCCGCTCAGGAGATTGTACTGCAGCAGACTGGGGAAGGGCAGCACGCATGCACATCACGCAACATGCGCCATGCGCCATCGCTCATACAGAGGAGACGGCATACTAAGAGACACTCTCGCCTCTTGTCACATCTGTTGAGCCTGTGGAAATCGGAAATGCCTGCCTGCCAAGTGCGCCATACGAAGCAGGAAGATCCTCCGGGGAGCACCACTCAAACCTAGGGTTGAACAAAACCGGGTAATTACCCGACCCGACCCGGTTTTGCAATACCCGACCTCGGGTCGGGTATTTTCGGGTCGGGTCCGGGTCGGGTAATATGCCCAGGACCCTTACCCGGACCCGGCCTTAGGGGGCGGGTAATACAATACCCGCGTGGCGGGTCCGGGTATACCCGACCCGGTTACCCTGAAAAACGGGTATTAGTACCCGCCACCTACTAGTGGGCGTTCTAAAAACGGGCTAGGCTAGGTAGGTTTTCTCAAAACGCGACTCTCAAATGAGAGTCACGTTCTCTGGGGGTCGAATTTTGACCACCCAACTCCCTCCCTTTCACCGCACCGACCCGCCGGGTAATAATCCGGAATCCGGATACCCGACCCGCCCAAAAAGCGGATCCGGGTCCCGGGTACCCGACCCGGCCGGGTATTTTGCTCAAGCCTACTCAAATCACATGTCACATCATGAATGCACTTCACCACGTACTTGGGTACCGAACGAAACGTGTTTAAGCATACGGCAAGACCGGGCGGAACCACATTTTGCACTGTTCCAGAGCAGAGCGAAGCATAGATGAATGCCTCATGGAGCACATAACCTCGACGAAGCTTGCACACACACAGGCGAGGGTTGGTGTGGTAAGGACGTACAGCAACGAGAGAGAGGGAACGGTTCCAAGTGAATCGGGGATGGGCCCCGTGAGCTGATTCTTTGCCAGCTTGCTGCGTGCGAGAGCACAGGAGAGACATTGAGAGGGCGGACGGGGCGGGATAAAGGGCAGCAGCAGCACGTGCGAATGAGAGGCGGCTGGGGAGAGCAGGGATAATGAAGGGGCGGATGGGGCGAGATCAGAGGAATGAAGCGCGGTTGGTGGTGGCAACAATTTTAGCAGTGGTGGTGGCAGCGACAGTGTAGCCTCGGCTGCTGCCTTGTGTGCCTCTTCAAATAGGTGCTGTGCATCGGCTAGCTTAGCTGTAACCGAACAACCTGCGCGAACGAGCAGGCAACATATGGAGGGTCGCCGTGGCATGGCAGGGATCTCACAGCAGTGTGAGGCTGTTCAAGCGGCTGAGGGAGTCAGGTATGGTCCCAGTGAGCTGGTTGTAGCTCAGAACCCTGCAATTGCGGCAGTGAAGAAAGACGGCACAGAACACATGTGCTGTGCTATGGTTGTAAATGAGGTCGAATGGACACCAGAGTGATGGAATAAACAGTTGGCAGGCGGAACCACATGACGTGACGGTCATCACTCTTTTGACAGGCACACTAGTTGGAATCCAGGGGTGGATCATCAGTGGTGTCGCACTGCTGTCGATTTGGACAACTGCATCACGCGTGCGACAGTCATAGCAAGAACCATTGAGAGCACGGCATTGATGAGCGCACAAGTCCACCAGCAACGTGATGTTGCCCAAGGAAGAGGGGATGCTGCCAGAGAACGAGTTTTCTTCAACGTGTCTGCGCACACCATGGTCAGATGACCACACAGGGGAAGGAAAACAAGGCTTCAAAACCACACTGCGATCGAGTGCACTGCCAAGTGACGATGACCATGTACAGTTACTTCGCGATACGCAACATGAAGCATGTTGAGCATAGCTCTTACATACACTAAATCCCAGTTTAAATCCAGCTGTTAGTTTCCATAAACGAGGTCACTCCATGACAAACTGGGCTGGATGCAGTGCTGGCTTGAGGGCATCAGAATGACAAAACTTAAAGATCAGTGAAGATTGGAAAACAGAAATGACGGCATTCCAACACTGCGCTGCGCATGCAAATGAATAGGGTTGTGCTCGCGGTTCTCTCAAACCTTGAAACCTAAGAAAGGAGTGGATGTTAGGATGGTGGAAGTGCACCAGTCCATGGAATGAACACCAGTGTGAAAGTCTGAGACTCATCTTTTACTCGCTGACAAAAGTCTAGAGCTTTAGCGCAGTCAGGAGCGCATAGATGGAAGGGTATACCGTGGGACGGAATGTGGCTCACAGGGTGAAGAGGTTGGTGAGAGTGCCAAGGTCGTTGGGAAGAGAGCCATTAAAGGCGTTCTGATTGAGATTGCTGAGGGGTGAAATGGCAGAGGGCGGATGACCAAGCAGCAGGATAGATCGATGAGGAGGGAGGAACAGGCGTGTTGAGGTAGTTGCGTGTGCTTCTTGTTGACTCGCTCAGCCTCTTTGTTACAAGACAGACTAGTACCACTCTGTGAAATCGCTTGGCGTAACGTGATAAAATTTTGCAGAATGGAGCCATCAAGACCTCATTCAGAGGGCTTGATGAGTCACATTATCCAACCAAATACGCCATCAATTGTAATTTTGATGGAGTTCTCTCCCAAGCCCTAATTAGCCCAGCTGACAATGCTACGATTCATGGTAAGGGTTATATGCTTATGTTTGATATCAGTTACTGTATGACAATAGTTCGACGCACTGTTACCCCATCATAGCAGGAAAGAGCTGACTGTATAAGGTAACCTCACACGCGATGCAACTATTGCCACAGCAGTAGCCAGAGTAACTCAAAACGAACCGACAACAGGGATATTAGCAAGGACATAGGTAACCGATTGGACATATAAATTTCAGACAAGCAATCCAACCTGCGGGACCCACTGCATACATTGTGATAGTCCCCTTCCCGAAACTCACCGGTGGATGGATGGTCAACACATAGCTGATGCCGTCACCTGAGACTCGCGGTCCTCTGTTAACAGGACCCCCTGGTAGAGAACCTACATAACAGGCAGCAGCGGCTAGGAAAATAGGCGGCAAGCAAGACGGACACGGAGGCTACCAGCCTAAAGAAGAAAACCCATCCCAAGCCGCGGAGAGCTGTGGGTGTGATGCCAGGGGTATTAGGGGCAAAAGGGATTAAAGGCGTACAGGTATCTAAGCTGAGGCAAGTTGCACAGTGGGTCGATGGGACCTGACAGCTGATTGACATGAAGAGCACTGAAACAGGGTAGGCAGGAAGGAAGGAGAAGAGACAAGATGCGACGGCAAAATCCTAACGAGCCACGCAAGCGCTTGGTTGGCTGTGTACAAGAAGGACCATGTGTTTTGTAGGCTGCGCGCATGTTCATTGGAATCTTCGATCAGCCAAACATTCGAAGCTGCAAACACACTCACAATTTTTGCGCATGTGAGTTTCGAACATGTATGCACATGCCGCATGGCGGCTCGCCAGCTGCACAGCAAGCTCCTAGTGAGGCTACTCACAGAATTTGCAAGTTGACCAAGCGGCTGATGCCTACAGGGATTGTCCCCGTGACAGAATTTCCGAGTAAGGAGCTGGAGTACAGGTGAAAGCCATGCAGGTGGTTGGAGGAGGCAAGCGAACAAGAAGGTATAATTGAAGCTGGTCCCCCTGAGAGGCAAAGGTAGCAGACGCTGACTTGAACCATGTAGAAGCGGAATGCAAGGTGAGAGAGAGTGATCGTTAATGCAGTGCTAATAATACCCTAGTGAGGAGCCCACTTACAGAGCGACAAGCGATGTCAGGTTGAAGAGGCCATCAGGGATGCTGCCTTTGAGATGGCAGAATGGAAGCGCCCTGAAAGAAAAGGCGGGTTTGAATGGGTTTTCAGAAAGGAGGATCACTTCTGCGATCGGCCGGACAACGTCCGCTTCTTCCCCGTGGAGGTGGAGACCTATGGCTGCTCCCGCGTGTTCTGATTGTACCTCATGTGCCTTGCCTACCTTGTACTAAGGTTCGATCAATTTAAGAATGGCTTGAGAGAGAGACAGAAAAAGACCACATCCATATCGACAGGAGCTAAGCCAGATCTCTGAATAGAAGTTACCGCTCTACTTGTTAGACAAGGTCCCCCACTACCACCCCCACAAACACCCCCCCCCCCCCCCCCCCCCCCCCCCACCCCACCTTCACTCTTCCCTCCCACCCCCCTCTGCTTCTTGCCCCCTTGCTTTCAGCCGTGCCTATATCGATGCTAATGGCCCATCCGGCTGCCCTGACCACCTCCCTGACAGGAGGCCCCTCTAGTCACCCCCTGCCCCTGCCACGCCCGAGCACCTCTCCTCATGTGTCCCGTGATACTTAGCCAGTGCGCCGTACTCAGCCATGCATTCAAAAGCATCAACCAATTGAGAGAAGCTCAACCAACCAGAGAAAATACGTCCGCTTCCCCCCCCCTGTGCTTCTTCTAATAGCTGCATTACTCGCTCTTGTGCCAAGCAAAACGAGAGGATGGGATCGATGCACCCGTGTTCATCGTTATGCAACTCACTGCACAAGAACATACCACCATCACATACTAGTACTGGAACACTGGTGGCTATGTTGCGTTAAACGCTAAACACTGCAAAAACGTCAATCGCTCGGCGGTTTCTTTTTCGGGCTGCCCCCGAAATTTTGTCGAGGGAAAACCTTTCGCGCCGTCGCGATTTGGCAAATTCGACCTGAATGTCACCAAATCGACTCTCAAGATTTCACCATCAAAATCACATCCTACCGAAATCCCACCCCCAACTGCACTGAACTCCGCAGCATCAAGTTTTCCCAACCCCTTCCTCTAATGTCCTCTACGTGAGAGAGAGCAGCTCTCTCCCATAGATCGCGAAATCACTGATTCACGCGACTAGTTCTAGCCGCCAAGTACCTAGCTAATCTCCCTAATCTAAGCTCCTTAGGCCGTTTTTCTTTTCTCGTGTTACTATGGCGACAACCCCTGCTGCTGGTGTGGTGGTAGCGCTCTTCCATCAGCATGCGTTAGTAGTAATAATATGTACGAGGCAGAATCTTCCCATGAGGACTTCAAGTATTTCCTCGTTTTAGTTAAGACACCCGGCCAAAACGTGCTCTGCACCCCTTTCTCTCCCCCCCAAAATCTTTTTGGACCTGCCTGTGCTTTTTAAAGGCTGCCCGGACTGCCGTTTACGAAGCGCTTATAGGGACTGAAATCTTGCGTTTAGAGGCGTTTACAAGCTGGCGTTGGAAACGCTAAAATCGTTTAGCGCTACAAAGACTGGTGGTGCTGAGGGGCATAGCAGGCAAGGTGCAAAATTGCGGCAGGACGTTTTTTTCGATGGTTTTTTTCGATGATTTTGGGAAAAAAAGCCCGAATTTTTGTTAGAGAGATTTTTTATTGCGAGAATATTTTTTTAACTGCCTAAACAAAAAGGGGCGTCTAGCTACGACTGCTAGTGGCAACGGCGTCCGAGATAAGTCCCTAAAATGAGGTAAGACCGTCCTCCTCCTCCTCCACCTCCTCCTCCCCCTACCATGCACGCACCCCCATGCAGCCCCTCTGGCTCCTCCTACTGCCCAAACTCCTACTCCCCCTACTCATACTATTAGGCTACTCCTACCATGTACCCCCATGCAGCCCCTCCTGCCCCTCCCACTCTTCTCCTCTTTCTCCTCCTACTCCTCCCATGCACATGATGGAACTAAAAAATCGGTCGAAAAAAACGGCCGTATTTTTGCACACAAAAAAAACACAATACGACTACCGTTTTTTTCCGAATTAAACGGCCGTATCGTAAGGTACCGTACCATACGGTCTGAAAATGAATAAAACGGCCGTATTTTGTACCTTGATAGCAGGAGCTCACAGTTGGGTGAGGTGCTGAAACTGACTGATCATGTCCGGTATTGGTGCATTGAAGCTCTTCATCTGTAGAAATCTGCAGCACAAACGAGAGGGGATGGATGGAACATGACTTCTCACCGAGCAATAGCCAGGGTTGAAGAATTAGAATGTATGCATTATCAATCCAGATGGTGGTACAAAACGAAGGTTGGGAATCATCAGCCTATTTAAAGTGGAGGTGGTATGAGTACACAACTAGACATTACTCGTACGTAATCGCAATAACGAGCTTACCAACTGTGCTTGTGTGTAGTTAGCCTCTCTCAACTTCGGCAAACCTCTCTCCTTTCAGCTGTTAACTTTACTGATTGACAAACTATGTCACTGCGGCAACTATCTCGTGGGAGGTGCAAAAAAAGGGTAATCATATTATATGGGTCGTATAGTACGATCGTTTTTTTCTGCCATTTTTTGGGAAAAAACGCCGTTTTTTTGTTCGAAATTCCTCTTTTTTTTCTCTTTTTTTTTCTTTTTTGGCAGACCCACGTGCAAAACAGATCCCCGCATTTCGCCCACCAAAACGCGAGATCCAGGCATTCCGGCAGGCGAAATGCCAGATCCGCGCATTTCGCCGGCCTAAACAAGAGATCCGCCAATTTTGGTGGACGAAGTGCTGCGCATTTTGGCACGCGAAATGCCAGATCTGTGCATTTCGCCCGCCTAAACGCGAGATCTGCGCATTTCAACGAACAAAATGCCAGATCCGCGATTTTCCGCCATCTATTCCACCCGGGTTTTAAAAAAAAAGGCCGAAAAAACGGCAGTTTTTTTGCACCACCCTGAAAAAGTTTTTCAGTGAAAATGGCACTTTCGGCCTTTTTTATCGTATTATACAGCCGAAAATTTCGATTCCGTATCATACGGTCAATTTTTGAAAAAATGCCGTTTTTTTGCACCTTGCATGGGACTACTCTTCTACAACTATCAATTGACATCAGCGGCATGCTAAGCTGCACAGCAGAGGTGGGCACATCAAGAGCACTGCCACACGTGCAAGAGCTCAGATTTGCAATGGGGGGGACCCATGACATACGCATGCAAGCGGAATGCACAATGGGGGAAGTAATGAAAAGGTGCACTGGCAACATGACATCACATGTCACAAGAGAAAAAAGCACAGCGTGCTAGCTGAGGGTGTGCAGCGTGCTCACATGTCAGTGACGAAACCATCTCGGTCACAAGCAATTCCATCCAGCGCCTTGCAGTCCGCGTAGCGCAGCCCCCACGTCTCACTGCCCTGGAAGTTGTTCCACTCACTGGCCAGCACCAAGAGACTCCTCACTGGGAGGAGCCAAGGATGGGTGATGCAAGAACTCAGCAAGGCATGTGGGGAGTAGACATGGGCACAAGCCGAGCCACACCTGGCTCGGCTCGGCTCGGCTCGCCTTTAAGGCGAGCCGAGCCTTCTTTTTTGGTACCCGGCTCGACTCGAGCCGAGCCGGCTCGGCTCGGCTCGAGCCGGCGGCTCGGCTCGGCTCGCGCACGTGAAATCAAGAGAGCCGGAGTCGAGCCGGCTCGAGCTGGCTCGATTTCGAGCCAGCCGGCTCGCGGCTAGGGAAAGGGGGGTTTCGCGACTGTCAAATTTCAGATCGACAACCCCCCCCAGCCAATATTGTCTGCCAACCCTAACCTCAAGCTGTCGCGCTAGTCTATCGACCTCAGCCAGCCATATTTAAACCGGCAGCTCCTCCTGATAGTTTTGTAAGATGTAGGAGCAGACGATCAGCTAAATAATATGGATTGTCCCCTATACTAGAGACCCCAACCCAAACCCCGTGGCCCCAATTGAGAGCCTGCACAAGCCCCCCTGACGAGCCGAGCCGGGGATCCTGAGGACCCGGCTCGAGGCGAGCCGAGCCGGCTCGACCCCAAACGAGCCGAGCCGAGCCAGGCTCGGCTCATGCCCATGTCTAGTGGGGAGAGCAGAAAACGGTGAGAAAAGAGACGGCTTGGTGCAACGAGTAGGACGGGATGGGCAAGGGATAGAGTGAGCTGCTACAGTGGCCACGTGAATGCGTTTTGTGTCCCACAGGAAGGGGTGGCACTGCTGTTGGCGTACCATCGGCTGCATGCACTCGCACTGACGCTACTCCCCTGAGAGCCACAAGGCACGCAATGCTGCCAAGCAGCAACACATGCAGCTCCATCCCTCGGTGCGGCGCCAGCTGCATGGTGAGCGCACGGACAGGAAATAGGGATGTGAGACAGTGGGTCGACTGGATGCTTGGTGGGAGGATCTGTCCTCAAGCACGGTCTCGATGAGGTCTGTGCCTTACGAGAGCGAGAATGAGCGCGGGGGAGGATAAAGAACAAAGCAAAGCAAAGCAAATTTTGGGGCACGCGAGGTGGAAGTATGAGGTGAGACTGGCAACAGAGCCTGAACAGGGACCCAGAGGAGCATGGCACAGTGTGGAGTAGACGGGCGTGGTTGCCGCAGCAAGCTGCATTGGCAGGTCGGGCGTTTCACCAGGCGGACTTCATGGCAGGGGGGAATAAGTCCACGTGGCCTGGGCGTTCCCTGGCACTACATACCATGCCAATGCCATGCGTCACAGGTGGCCCTTCCTGGACCGCGAGCAGCAGATGGGCAGGAGGACGCCCAACGCAATCCATGCTTGGTTGAATGCCCGGGCTGAAAGAACACGGCCAGCAACGCAAGCGAGTCTGTCTTAACGCACCCGTGGCTAGAGTGGATCGAGAGGACTCGTTATTAGGGACTGCCCGTGCCCTCGTTCTGAGGCGCTGGCAATAATACCAAGGGCGCCGACCAAGGGCAATGGCACTAAGGGCGGTGACCAAGGGTAATGAGACCAAGGTTAGAGCATAGATTCTTCCATGTCAAGATGGAATGTAGGCTGAAGCAAGCAACTTAGATAAGAACGTCTTTGGAGGTGATTAGGACCAGGGATTTATTGGCGAAGTGGTTTAGGGTTTGCGAGGTGATGGGCCATGTTATGTCCCGCGCGTGGCGAGTTTAGGTATGGTTCGCGCACGTCCGGAGTTTCCACCCGACCTAGGGTTTGAAGACGGATTCGAGTTAGGGTAAGAAGGTGCAGGTTTAGGCGTGGCTGTTTCACGCAACCGAATGCGTGTTGTTCGGCTGTGGCTGTGTCGAAGGGCAACCCATCCCACACGAGCTAGGTCTGGGTCGCGAGCCACTCGAGCCGGCGCGTCTCCAGCGAGCTTTCCCCCCGCTCGATCCTTCTTGACGAGCCTCGAGCTGGGACCAACAACTCGATTCGAGCCGGCTCGGCTTGAGACTTTTGTCTGTCAAGCCTTGGCCAGCTCGAGTGGAGCTGCCTCGGGCTCGGCCCCTGCCCAAGTCCACCCCACCGCACCTTCTCGCATGAGCGGCCCTAGCTTGAAAGCAGTGAGTTCATGGCCCATGAGGTAGGCTCAGTAATGGTGACATCACTCCATCGACGCCGCGCAGCACAAACTGCCTCCCCACTAGCCTGCGCGCAGGGGGGATTGTTTGGCAGGGCGCTTCGCGGACATGCAACTCGGACTGGGGCGGCGGAGACAGACGGACAGGGCGGATGACCCTGGCACGGAACTGTCACCCTGCCGCCAGTAGCGAAAACCCTGCCGTTGCTAGTTCTCTCCCCCCTTTCACTCACTCTCCTCCGCCTCCTCACCCCACTCCTCTCATCTCCTCGCCTCATCCGGCCGTGCACCGCGGGGCAGCAAGCGATCTTGTCAGCGCCAGTCCGAGGGGACAAGCGCGGCGCCGCGAGTGTCAAGGGTTTGCGATGCTGACCAAGTAAGCTGTTACCTGACGACGACAAGCGGTAAGCGGCCACTATTACCACCCCCGGGGGTGGCCCGCTGGGCCTGTTTGAGGGTCAAAGACTCGCTCGCGCCCCCAGTCGCAATGTTTGAGTCACAGCAACGTCGAGCGCGCAACGCTGTATTCTATCGAAATGCGGGCGGGCCATCATGCTTGGCGAGCTTACCCGGGGTGTCGACATCGTTGTTCTTCCACTGCCTGGACCGCGCCTGGCAGAGGCAGCGATAGCTAGAATGCGACACTCCGTCAAGTTTGCAGGCTCGTGCCGTGACGTGTACTACTAGTAGTACTAGCGGGAGGACGTGGGAACAGGAACCGGGCGACTCGAGCACGTACTAGGGTTGCGTTGCAAGCAGGAAAACCTTACACAGCATTTACACATGCTGATGATTTTGAACACAGGATACGGAGGGAGGGAGTCTTCCGTGAGTGCGCGGAACATGCTGTGGACTGGGCAAGAATCGAACCTCCCAAAAGCAAACGGGGTCATGCTGTGGACTGGGTTTAAAATGGTGTCGTGTGATAGGGTCATTCCGCAGCGAGTGTCAGACCCGAGATCGACCCGCGGCCGAAGGAGCCGTGGGTTGTCACAACTGAATTCAGCTGCGGGTTTGATTTTCTTGACAGTGCAGCCGCTGCATAGTCGCGAATTGTCGCGAGGGGAGGGTTGCGACTATACTGGCCGAACTTTTCGAGTCCACCAGAAAGTTACAAAGTTATGATTGGTGGAAGCATATTTGGCTGAAGCCGTCCGTTTTTTCGTAAGACCCGAGGCAATTTTTCCAGCATCAGATCTTCCAGCTAAACCCTCGGGTCTAACACACGCTCTGAGGATTACGCCCTTAGGGTGGGACGTCCGCTCCGTTCGTCTGCTCCGTTCGTCTGTTCGTCCGTTCGTTCTGCCCGAAGGGAGATTCTGGGATGCTTAAAGCCGTTGACCCAAAACGTGCAAGATTAATAAGCATGATAGGGCGAACAGGGGCGTGGAGCAGTGGTGCGAGGTGGCAAGTGTGGTTCGCCCCGGAGCGAACATCGCAACACCCTACGCGAAAACGAACCCATTGCACGAAGTGCAAACACCAATCAGCACGCGTGAAAAAACGTGCTATAAAACCCGGCGCCAAAAGAAAAATGATGAAGGGGGAAACCTGAGGGCGGAAAAGGGACAGGAGGGGCGCGCAAGGTGCAGAGGGGGGGGAGGAGGACACCGAAAACAACGAGCACGACAAACTACAAACAGCGGGGTCAAGCAGGGTAGCAAGCGATGGGTATCTTGGCAATGCAAAATGAATTTGGTGAGCAACGAAAAAGGCTGTGAGGGAGAGAACAATACCACCAGCCGCCACACCACTCTGCCCGCAGCAGCACACAGCATATAAACTAGGCATTGGGAAGCTCATGTAAGGAACGAGCGGCATACAAAGAGCTCAAACGGTTGCGACGGCGCACTAGACATGATAGTCGCGGCCCCGCCTAACGCATGAAGGCTGCGCGTTGCAAAGACTAGCGCTGATCGTGGAAACGGTCCCGAAGCGCACTCAGGGAGGAGTGTCAAGGTGAGGCAGTGGGGCAGAGAGGAGTGTCAAGGTGAGGCAGGAGTGGGAAGCAGGGGGGAAGCAGAGAGGAGTGTCATAGTGAGACAGGAAGGCGGGCAAGGGGGGAGCTGAGAGGAGTGTCAAGGTGATGCAGGAGGGGGGAGCAGGGGGGAAGCAAAGAGGAGTGTCATAGTGAGGCAGGAAGGCGGGCAAGGGGGGAGCTGAGAGGAGTGTCAAGGTGATGCAGGATGGGGGAGCAGGGGGGGAAGCAGAGAGGAGTGTTAAGATGAGGCAGCAAGATGTGAGAAATGGGAAAGGAATATGGGAGAGGAGATGGAGATGCGTGGTGGGAGCGAGAGGTGAGACGAGGGAAGGGAAACATGGAGAGAAAACAGGGATGCAATGCATATGCGTGGGTTGAGAGATGGGGAAGGAAAACATGGTGGAAACAGGGAGAGGAAACAGAAATGCATGGTGGGTGTGAGGGGTGTGAGGTGGGAGATAGGGACACAGGGGGAGGAACCGAGATGCATACGGGGATTGAGAGGTGATAGGTGGGAAAGGAAATTGGGGGAGGAAACAGAGATGCATGGTGGGATTGAGAGGTGAGGGGTGGGAAAGGAAGCTGGGGGAGGAAGCAGGGATGCATGGTGGGAATGAGAAGTGAGATGTGGGGAAGGAAAGTGGGGGAGGAAACAGAGATGCATGGTGCGAATGAGACGTGAGAGGTAGGAAAGGAAAGTGGGGGAGCATAGACGAGTGTCAAGGTGATGCAGGAGTGGGGAGCAGGGGGGAAGCAGATAGGAGCGTCAAGGTGAGGCAGGAGGGGGGAGCAAGGGGGAAGGCAGAGAGGAGTGTCAAGGTGATGCAGGAGGGGGGATCAAGGGGAAAGCAGAGAGGAGTGTCATAGTGAGGCAGGGAGGCGGGCAAGGGGAGAGCTGAGGAGTGTCAAGGTGATGCAGGAGGGGGGAGCAGGGTGAAAGCAGAGAGGAGTGTCATAGTGAGGCAGGGAGGCGGGCAAGGGGGGAGCTGAGAGGACTGTCAAGGTGGGGCAGGGATGTGAACAAGGGGGGAGCTGAGAGGACTGTCAAGGTGGGGCAGGGAGGTGAGCAAGGGGGGAGCTGTGGGGAGTGTCAAGCAGAGGCTGAGAGGTGAGCAAGGAGGGAGCACAGACGAGTGTCAAGGTGATGCAGGAGGGGGGAGCATGGGGGTAGCAGAGAGGAGTGTCAAGGTGAGGCAAGGAGGCGGGCAAGGGGGGGGCTGAGAGGAGTATCAAGGTGCTGCAGGAGGGGGGAGCAGGGGGGAAGCAGAGAGGAGTGTCATAGTGAGGCAGGGAGGCGGGCAAGGGGGAGCTGAGAGGAGTGTCAAGGTGATGTAGGAGGGGGAGCAAGGGGGAAGCAGAGAGCAAACAAAAACTGTAGTCAGAGCCAAAAAGCAATAGTAAGAGCCAAAACAACTGTAGTTACAATAAAAATTTTGTAGTCAGACCCAAGAAACTGTAGTAGGAGCCAAAAAAATGTAATAAAAGCAAACAAACTGCAGTATGAGCAAAAAAACTGGAGCAGGAGCCATAAAAGTGTAGTAAGAGCAAAAAACCTGTAGTCAGATCCAAAAAACTGTACTAAAACCCAAAAACCTGTATTCAAGGCCAAAAAACTATATTAGGAGCAAAAAAACTGAAGCACAAACAAAAACTGTAGTAGAAGCCAAAAACTGTAGTAAGAGCAAAAAAACTATAGTCAGAGCCGAAAAACCGTAGCAAGAGACAAAAAGATTGTACTTAGAGCCAAAAAAACAGCAGTAAGAGCCATGAAAACTTTAATCAGAGCTACAAATATATAGTTAGAGCAAGAAAACTGTATTAGGAGTAAAAAAACTGTAGTAAAGGCCAGAAAACTGTAGTAGGAGACAAAAAACTGTAGTCATAGCAAAAAAAACTGTACTCATAACAAAAAAAAATGCAGTCACAGCCGAAAAAACTGTAGTAAGAGCCAAAACTTGAGCTTAGGGATGTGAGCTCACAGAAGGGAGCCAAAACTTGAGCTCACTTCCCGGAGCTCTCTTTCTTGAGCTCACTTCCCTGAGGTGAGCTCACTTCTCTGAGCTCACTTCCCTGAGTTCACTACCCTGAGGTGAGCTCACTTCCCTGAGCTCACTTTCCTGAGCTCACTTCTTTGAGCTCACTTCCCTAAGCTCAGTTCCCTGAGGTGAGCTCATTTCCTTGAGCTCACTTCCCTGAGCTCACATTCTTGAGCTCACTTCCCTGAGCTCACATTCTTGAGCTCACTTCCCTGAGGTGAGCTCACTTCACTGACCTCACTTCTCTGAGCTTTCTTCCCTGAGATGAGCTCACTTCACTGAGCTCACTTCCCAGAGCTCACTTCTCTGAGCTCGCTTTCCTGAGGTCACTTCCCTGAGGTGAACTCACTTCCCTAAGCTCACTTCCCTAAGATGAGCTCACTTCCCTGAGCTCACTTCCTTCAGCTCACATTCTTGAGCTCCCTTTCCTGAGGTAAGCTCACTTCCCTCACCTCACTTCTCTGAGCTTTCATACCTGAGGTGAGCTCACTTCCCTGAGCTCACTTACCTGAGCTCAATTCTCCTAGCTCACTTCCCTGAGCTCACTTCACAGAGGTGTGCTCACTTCCCTGAGCTCACATCCCTAAGGTAGGCATGAGCAAAGGGTCGGGTCGGGTTTGTTTTTAACCCGATGGGTCGGGTCAACCCGAACCCGACGTGCACGGGTTCGGGTCAACCCGACATGTCGGGTTGACCCGACCCGACTTCGGGTTAATGCAGTCGGGTTGACCCGACCCGACCCGACCCGAAATCGGGTCGCGCGTCGACCCGACGCGATTTTGAGATCTGCTCGCAGATCTGAAAATTTTGAGTTTGAGGGTTGAAATTTCAAACCAAAAAATCACTCGCCTATTTCGACCTCGACTTTCCCATACTCCTACCTAGCAACAATGGAGTTCTAACGGTTGAGTTTTAGGTAGCAGCTGTTCCTTCTCTATCTCATACATACCGAAAGGACATTAGCCCTAAGCAACTCATATTTCTTAAGGAAACAGCCCGCATTTCTTAGGGAAAGTTTCCAACACAGTGGCTAGTACATTTGTGGCATTTACCGCGCACTTTCCAAAATTGGGGGCATTGTTCCGTGGAATCTAGGGCCATCTTAGATATCTAGGGTTTCCATAGGTCTCTAAAGGGGGCTGAACTAGGGGAGGGCCTAGATTGTAGGTGTTGGTGGCCTACACGGCGGCGAATGGAAGGCGGACTCAGCGGTGGCGATCAGGGCAGAAGCAACGGAGAGGATGGGGGGTTTACGCCGAACGGCCCACACGTGGCGTCGGCGCAGACCGGCGTTGACAGTTCGGCGCTGCCCGGGATGTCCCTTGCCCTCGTGCCCGTCGCCGGCGCGCCACAGAGCTTCGCCCTTGGCTCCATCAACGCCGACAACGAGTGGGATGGCACATGGCACCGGGATTTCAGCATGGACGACGAGGGGTGGGAAAGGAACCGGATTCCGGAACCCGCAGCAGGGGGGAAGGGGGGACAGCGTGACAATGACCCGGATTATGGCCCGGGAGAGGAGGAGATGGAGGCATGCGAGTCCGGGGACGATGGCCCATGCCCCGGAAAAAAGGGGAGTGGGAGGAAGAGCGGGAAGGGTGGCGGAGGAGGGCGTGGGAAAGGGGCGGGTGCTGACCTAGGGGCCATGGACGCACGCGCTGCTGCTGGTGGGGGGGAGGACAGTGGGGAGCCTGGAGTGGCAGGGGTTGTGGAGGGGGCAGCAGAGGCCAAGGAGACAAGGGATAGCCAGGGTGCGCGCGGT